CTTTAGCCAAAATAACCTTTGAAGTTAAACCTACTGGTAATAAATTCCTTTGTCTTTTATAGACCCCACCCTACATGGTAACAGAAACTCTCAGGCAGTGTCAGGTACCTCTTTCCCAGGAGTTGCATCTAGATTGGGGTTGGGTGCAGAGGGTGCTTATGGATTTACGTGGTGCCAAGGCTCATATAGGAGGGTTTACAAACTGAACTCGTTGTCATTTCTGCACATAGGCATCTGTTTTTACTTCTGTCTGGTATTTGGTTATTGGCTGATGCTGGTATCATAGAGTGTTCCCTTATTCCCAGCTGCAAAGGGCTCTTCAGGTAGGCCTGCACTACACTTGCGGTATGTTAAAAACACTCTCTTGCCACTGCTCCAATCCAGGCTACAAGAAAGGCTACTTCCCTGCTCCCCTTAGATGCCATTCTGCAGTTTCCAGTTCTATCCAGCAGCCTCCATGCCCACTAAGCCCACAGAAAATCAGGAAACTGCCTCGGGTCCACCTGCCCACCCTTGCTAGGGGCTAGGAACACCAGGGTCTTACTGTCCTTGTGGACCCCTTGAGGGACAGAAGCATGCAGCTACCTTGTCTGAAACCACGTGTAGTTTCCACCCACCCCTTGGGAATGGATGGGGCAAGGAGTAGGGACCCATCACATGCAGGCTCAGTTACCCAAGGTCTCTTTGTTTCCCCTATGAATCTCCTGTCTGTAGCCCAGAGTGTTCTTGAAATGTTTGGCTGGGGACAGTGCTGGGAAAGGAAAAAAGGAGATCTTGCTGCTACTGATCATGAATCTCTCTCTCAGGAAAAAATTATATCGGGACATTGAGTGACTCTCTCTCTCTGTCTCTCTCTCTCTCTCTCTCTCTCTTTCTCTGAATGGTTTTAGGTGCACTCTGAGAATCCTCCTGTTCTTCCAGAAGCTGAGATCGAAGAGTTCTGTAAACACCTTGAATTCTAAGTGTAGTGAGGAATTGCCAGTGATTAAGTGTTAGTCACTAATTCAGAGAAATGGTTCCAAGTCTCAAGCACCACCTTCTGAAGCCAACTCCCACCCCTGCCAATCCCAGCGCTACAATAAGACTGACAGAGAGGAGGGGAAGTTACCTCTGAATTAACAATTCTTGGGAAAATTACCTCTATACCACATCTTTTCTCCTTTGGGGAGAAGGTAGGCTACTATTTTCCTTTCTCTATTAGTCTGCTAGGGCTGTTATAACAAAGTACCAAAAACTGGGTGCCTTAACAACAGACATTTACTTCACAGCTCTGGAGCTTAAGGAATCTGAAATCAAGGCATGGCAGGGTTGGCTCCTTCTGAGGATTCTGGGGGAAGAATCAGGTCCAGGCCTCTCTTCTTGGTTTGTAGATGGCCCTCTTGTCCCGGTGTCTGTTCACATAATCTCTGTTCTGTGAGTGTCTGTGTCTATGTCTAAATTTCCCCTTTTTATAAGAACATTTGTCACATTGGATTAGGGTCAACCAAACCCTATTGACCTCATTTTAAATTAATTTCCTCTGTAAAAGCTCTATCTCCAAATAAGGTTACATTCGGAAGTACTGAGGATTAGGACTCCAACATATTTTTTTGCAGGGGAGTGTATTTTTTTACAGTTCAGCCCATACACCCCCTATTGCCAATCAACTGGCATAAGAGGGAAGCTGGCCAACTGGGAATCAGTTCCCTAATTAGGTGTTGGCTTTGTCAGTGGACTTGCCAGTCTTCCTTGTGCTACTTCAGCAGAGAAGAGAAATGTGGAGGAGCTCCCGGCCCCCACCCCACTTATACCTGCCAGGGCCCGGGCACCTCTGAGTTTTCAAGAGGAATGTTAGTTGTCAGATCAATTCTGTGTGTGACCTCAAACCCCAGCAGTTTCTACCTGGATGAGAAGAGGGGACACAATCTTGCCAAAACTGCCACAATGTGAAAGAAAGAGGTACATGCAGTTGGGAAATGGAGCCTTTTATTATCAATGGGTGAGCTGGGAGATACAGCTAAATCTCAGGGACTCCCAATCTCTAAGGGAACATGGGGTCTGTTAGGAGCACCTGTTACCCACAGAGACAACTAGAACAATAATCATTTACCAAGAAGAGCACTGCAGCCTTGCTGAGGCTGTGAGGAGGCAAAGCCCCACCGCTCCTCCAGAGTTCTCCCCACCTGGACGAACGGGCAGCAGATGGAGGAGCGGCAAGAAAGCTGGCTGTGCCCCACCCTCCACTCCAAACTCCAGCGTCTGCCTTATAGAATTTTAATTTGGTTATGACATGGAAGTTTTTATAAATAGAATGAAACCTTCTAAATCAGAGTCCCTCTGATATACAAAAGTGAGAAGTTATGGGCAGAGAAGGTGTGAAGTGAGCTGCTACCCAGCAGCAAACAGATGTTTAATAGATCAAAACTGAGGAAAATGACTGAAAAAAATAAAACTATGTCAGGCTTGCTTCTCATCTCAATGATGACTCTAAACAGTAGAACATGCACGTGCACACACAGCAACACTAAGTATATTCCATTAAGTTCTTGTTGTTTCACTTAACATGCTATCATGGACAGTTTCCTGTGTCATTAGGTATTCCTCAGAAATATAATTTTAATGGCTATGGTGTCTGTCATTCATCATACAAGTATACTATTAGGTATTTAATCTTTCTCCTATTAGACATTTGAATACATCTAATATTTTGGAATTATAAATCATGTCATAATCATCTTTGTACATATATGTCTAACATTTAATTCAAAAAGGAGGCATTGTTATGCCTACTTTTTTTTCAGATGGGATGATTAATGCTAATCACTGTCAGAGGTTAAGTGACCTGCCTTCATGATAGGCTAAACCCAAGTCTTCTGAGAATGCTCATTGACTATATTATCAATACATGAAAATTGTCCTTTATGCCTAAAATAGAGACTTGAAAATCTGTCTCATTTTCTTACCCATTTTTCTATATGTTAATATATTGTGCTATTCAAGGGGATGAGCCATGTTTTACTTATAGAATATATGCATAATTATCTGTTTATATCTTTGCTAAATTTATTTTATGTTAGCCAGCTAATTTCATTAGCATGGGAGAACAACAGAGAAATTAATGAACTGCAGATTTACATTTCTGTTTTCAAGACTCATCAAAGTGAAATAGTTTGCTATGAAAGCAACTATTCATGACCATGAATATATGACAGCACATCAGTCTGAATTTAACCTGAGTGTTATTGCATAGCAGGAAACAGCAGCAAAATAGTTATGAAGAGTAATGGCTTCACTATTGATTAAATATGGTTGGAACTCTAGATCTGCCATTTCAATGCCACATGAAGCTGGACAAATGACTTTATCTCTCTGTGCCTCTATTCTTAGTCTGTAAATAATGGATAATCAAAGTACCTACCTCAGGGCTGATGAGTGGATTAAATGAGAACCTCCTATATAGTTCTTAGGACCAGAATATGACCATTAGAAAGTACTCAATTAGTGTTAGCTACTAATAGTACTAATCAGAAGCTATAGGTTAACCTCACTTTAGGGATAGATATGTGGACTTGAAGAGATACAATTCAAATCTCTACTCAAATAGGGTTATTTGCTCTCTGATTTAGATATAAGACAGTAATCAGTTTTAACCTATCACCAACTATATTTTAATACATAAGTTAATATTTAATATGTAAATTATATATAAAAATGTATATGTATTATAATTATAATTCTTATAACACATAAACACATGAAAAAAGTGATTTTTCACTATTTTATTAAGTGTGCATCTTATATCCTATAAGTTCTTGTAAGTTTTTTATAGCATGATAAGTATCAATTGCAGAAATAATTTAATGGAATTAAATTGATAAAAAAGGAGTTAGGTTAACTTGAAATATAAAAAAAAAATTTATCTACAGCACACATACAAACAGTTTACACTGGACCTTAATAAGGATCGCATCATAACCTCACAAAACCAAAATCTATGTAACAGCATCGAATGAAATTCCAACAAACGGCTGTTCTGCATCATCTCACTTCAGGCTGAAGCCGCATCACCAGAGCAGGCACTTGCTAGCGCGGAATTTGAAGTTCTTCCACTACATTTAGGAGGAGGCTTATCTTGGCCTCCCAGGGAAACCTGGGTAGAAGGTTTACTTTTTGTAGGCATCTTCACTTGCATGGTTCACAGTAAATTTCGTGTTTTCCTTTAATGTCACAGTGAAGATACTCAATGACCAGCAATGTGGAGGAGGAGGAAGTGCTTACCAAAGGAGAAGAAAATGGATTTTAAAGACTTTAGAATTCAGGGCAGATACATGAACGGGAAAACCCCTAAGCTTCTGTCTGCACCCAGCCCACAGGAAAGGGTGAGAGGCAAGAGGCGAGGAAAAGTGCTCGTGGTGGTGCCGGATCTCGGAGTTAGCCTTGTCGGTTTTGACAGTGTTTGTTCCTATTGTTAGGAACCGCCTGCACAGAAGCAGCTGTGGCTGGCAACTCTCTAGAAGAATGTAACAAATCTAACACACAAGATTAATGCTCCTTTCTTGCATCATGGGGCATAAATAGAGCTGCAGCTTTTTATATACTCTCAAGTAGTATGCTATCCAATAAAGGCCGACAAAGAAAACCCAACAAAGCCTAATTTTACAGAGAGGGGGGAAAAACTGATATCATTGATCCATTTTAAACACATTCAAAATACTTTAAGCATTGTTGGCACACTCTGGGGATACAGAACGAAGCCAATGATCCAATATACAAATTTTGTGTATACACACACACAAGACCATATATATGTATTTGTGCCTAATATAATATGTATATAATAATAATAATAAATATATACTGAAAGAAACAAAGAGCTCTTGGATTTTACCTGTAGGAAAAAGAATACGTATTATCATGGCAGAGGCTTTAAGGTGAAAAGTAAGTCTTGCTTTAAAGCCTTCATTTTCTAGAACAGAAGCTTTCCCCCCGTAGCAAATGGAGCCCAAGGCCCTTCTGCCTACCTGTGCTGACGTTGGTGCTGGGGCTGGCCAGCAGTGGCCCTCCGCCCTGAGCTGGGGGCTGAGGCTGCCCATCACTCAGCTGTTTGACACGTTTGCGGTGGGATTTGCCGTTGTAATGGACCTGGGCCTGGGCTGCAGAGTTTAGCTGGATGTTGCACACCTCACAGAAGGAGAAGAGAATTTTCTTTTTTTCTTTACTGAACTGGTCTTCAGGCCTGTCATTTTTTAACCTCTTATCTTCAAAGCTCCGTAGAAAAGTTGCCATATTTATAATTCCATCTTCGGGGTAGCTGTCAGGGCTTAAATAGTACTTCATACCTGAAAAAAAAGGGTTCAACTCTTATGAAATATGTGCCTTTTTATCTTCTTGTAGGATTACAATTAATTTTTATGGTATGGTTTGAGTGTCCAACCTTTTGGCGTCTTTAGACCACATTGAAAGAAGAGTTGTCCTGGGCTACACATTAAATACACAAACACTAATGAAAACTGATGAGCAAAAAAAGAGGTTTTAAGTTAATTTATGATTTTGTGTTGGGCCTTATTCATAGCCATCCTGGGCTGCATGCGGCCTATGGACTGCAGGTTGGACACCGCTGGTAGGCCACAAGTCTCCCAGCTATGCAGTGGTCATTCTTGGAAACAGTCAAGAGTAACTAACAAGCAAATGTGGTGTTTAAATATGTGTTCCCTCTACCTGGAGCACCTTCTACTCCATCCTTGCTCCTCCTCCTATCACATATCAAGTTCTTTTCTCTCTTAACTCTTGCCCACCCTGGAGATCTTAGCTGGAGCACTACTCTCTCCAGAGAACCAGTCTGAGCCTGGAGACAGGGCAGATTTCTGGTTACATGTTTGAATAGTGCTGTGCGACCTCCCTTCATAGCATCTTACATGTATTTGTGCAATTATTTGGCTTATATTCTCCAATACAGTGTGAACTCTGTGAGGGCCCCAGCCTCATTTCTGAATGTCCCTTAGGCCTAAACCCGCACATTTTACACAATAGATGTTCAAATATCTATTGAAGAAAGGAAGGAATAAATGACGGTCTGATCCCAGAACTGTGAAAAAATGTATTTGTAATGTATTTGTAGGCACAATGATGTGCACCTGCAAACAGATTCATGCCGTAACCTGCGGAGAAGGTAAGTGACTATAGGGGGCCACTTTGAGTGGTATCGGGGACTGCAGTCCCATGTAAACTGGGGCCTGGGGGAGGATCTGTAAGACGTGGCCGGAACACCTGTAATGCAGTTGATAGGCAGGACCCGATAATAACTCCAAGGGCCTCTAGGGGCTAAAAGTAAGTCAACCTCCTTGAAGCATGCTTTGTTTCTCCCTCAAGCTCTGTTAATCTTATACCAGATAACCAGCTCAAGGCTGGGAAAGAAATTTATAAAATTCCTGAACCCTGACCCAAATCCCACCTGGTGCCATAACGTTTGCTCATCTCAGACCCAAGCAATCCGGTGTGTTCCTGCCACTGTCTTCTTGAAACATCACCTATTCTCTGTAAGCTTGAGTTACTGATATAATTACATTACCTATACATTCCTGCTACCTGTCCCCTGCTTGTAACCCTCTCAATAAAAGCCATTGAGCAACGGGGCTTAGGACATTCTCCTTGAGAGTGAATTGCCTTCCCTGTTCCTTGACAGGCAAATGGTGTCTAGAACGACTCATTCTTCCATCTGCAGCAAATTGGGGGACCTTGTGGGCCAGAGTTCCCCATAAGTGAAGACTGAAACACAGTATATTTGCAACTTATATTGGGTTGTGTTTCAAAAGCCCCTATACAAGTCAGTCAATGGGAATTTGAACATATTTTCTTATACATGTCATGAAACAAATTGTTTTTAGGTTTCCAGATTAGCCCAGAAATACCAATTTCACCTTTGATGAAGTTGAAATATATAGCATCTGAAATATAAAATAATAGAAATACAATATATGGAAAACTAGTATTTGAAATACAGAAAAAGAGTAAGACAGACTAAGATATAATTCTATTTATTTTTAAACACTGAATTTTTCCATTTATTTAGATATATTATAATCTGTCACTCTACCCGTAAGTGAAGATTTTAAACAAGACTTTTTAGTGTACCTCAAGAACCTCAGCTGATGAAGACAGCCTTGGCTTTTATCTTGGTCAGTTCTACTTTAACGTATGTAATTTCCTCATTTTAGTAATGTCAGTATTACCAGCATTTTAATACTTATCAGAATAATTACTACAATGTTTTTGGTTCTCACCTAGAATAAAGAAAAGGACACTGTCATGGAAGAAAGAAGAGTACAAGAGTCAGGGAATAACTGGGCAAAAACTAAGGAGAAACGTGTACGCATGAGAAAGAATTAGCTGAGGCAGACAGTAGTGTGCCATGAGGGATGAAAAATTCAGATAAACAAAGGACTGTGGCTTGTGAGGGACTTCTGACTATGGGAAAAACTCAGGAAGATGAAAAATATTGGCTTTGAGCAGTCCTGTTGATCCAAGTTGGCACTGAAGTCTATAGGTAGGGAGGAGCAAGTAGAGACTAGTCCATATTTGGAGTGTTCACCAGTTAAATGTTTAAATTCAGAAAATGAATTATGGCACAGGGTATGACCATGAAGATTTAATTCTATGGGTACAGCGTGCCATAAAGAACTCCTATTTATACCCATACCCTAGTGCAAAGTGCCCCCCATGCATTATATCATAGACTAAATCATAACTCTCATGGAACTGTTAGAAAATTGCTCATTTTGAAATGTAAAGCCTATTTGAACAATAAATACTTTATCCTGGTGCCACAATTTTAATGAACTCTGTTTTACAGAATTTTCCAAATGAACCTATTTCTTTTATCTCTCCATAAAGGCATTTTCTTCTTTAAAATCTATTCAAACTGTACATAAATCAGGTTTAAGCAATTCCTGTAGCTGAGTTATAAATGAAATGTTATTTGAACTGCACATATATCAATATTTGTGCTTTTTATTCCCCAAACCCAAAATATCATAGGGGGTCGCAAAACCATTTTTCTCATAAAACTTCAGAAAATATCAGTGCTCTATAAAAGAATGTTCAAATATATTACTGTGTTCTCTCTTACAATATTAAAATCTATCTTAAGAATGAACTGAACTTATTGATAAATGAAGAGATAATTTTTTAGAAGAGCTCATTGTTAATATATCATGTCCTGTCTAGAAAACAAATCCATTGTAAAACATAAGGAAAACTAATAACTTTTAACCTTACGAGGCTAGGTCACGCACCATCTCATTGAATCAGTGAAGTCTAAGTGTTATATTTCAACTCAAGCAATCAAAATTCTTGACTCAGCTGAGGACTGATGACAGTTTGGTCTTAAAATTGAACCTCTTTAGAGATGGTTGATGGTTAACACGTGGTAGTTCACACAAACAGGACACACATCATGATGTTCCTTTTAAAATTTTTAATCTACTCAACTCCAGGAAGATAATCAATCCAATTAAAAAAATGGGCAAAAGACCTGAACAGACACTTCTCCAAGGAGAACATAAGAGGGCCCAGAGACATATGAAAGGATGCTCAGCATCACTAGCCATTAGAAAGATGCAAATTAAGACCAAAATGAAATACCACTTCACACCGGTCAGAATGACCATCATAAACAAATTAACAAACAGCAAGTGCTGGCGAGGTTGTGGAGAAAAGGGAACCCTACTACACTCTTGGTGGGAACGCAGACTGGTGCAGTCACTGTGGAAAAGTTTGGAATTTCCTCAAAAAACTAAAAATGGAACTGCCTTTTGATCTAGTGATTCCACTGCTGGGACTATACCCTGAGAATCCTGAAACATCATTAAAAAAAAACCTGTGCACCCCAATGTTCATAGCAGCACAATTTACCATAGCCAAGTATTGGAAGCAACTTAAGTGCCCAAAAAGTAAAGGGGTGGATCAAAAAAATATGGTACATTTACACAATAGAATACTACGCAGCAGAAAGAAAGAAAGAGCTACTACCGTTCACAACAGCATGGAAGGAACTGGAAAGCATTATGCTAAGTGAAATAAGTCAGGGGGGTGAAAGACAAATACCATAAGACCTCACCGGTAAGTGGAGATAATCAACAAAACAAACAAGCAAGAAAAACATAACCAGTAACATTGAAATAAAGAACAAATTGACAGTAACCAGAGGGGAGTGGAGAAGGGGTTAAATGGAGGGAAGAAGGGGAAGGGTTGTCAAGGAACCTGAATAAAGGACCCAGGGACAAAGCCAATGGGGTGGTAGGATTGAGTGTGGAAGGCGGGGGTGGGTAGTGCGGGGGAGAGTGGTGGGGAGAAAATGGGAACAACTGTAGCTGAACAATAAAATAAAAAAAAGTTCAACTTTGCTCTAATGTTCTTCTAGACTTGTGTGTTAAAGTTGTTAGTTGTAGTGTAGTGAGAAGCATAGAAATTAATGTCTCTTTTGAAGTAAGACAGGTTTAACCTCAACTCTCTTAAATATGGTGTTGGAAAACTAGGTAAACTCTATTTTCAAGGAGAATAAGCAAGTTAAGAAAAGTTCTCTACAGAGCTATTAAGAAACAACCTGTGTTACAACTCTGTAACTGAAAATGGCATGATGTATAATATTTTTATAAAAGAAGCCTTTTGTCCACTGTATTCAGCAACGTCTTTTTTTCACACAGAGGAAGACACTGGAACAAAAAGCAAATGCACTGTATTAAATTACTTGAAATCGGAAGTTGCTTAAATTTATGAGGAAAATACATCTAGAAGAGTCTACTAAAAAAATAAATTTGAAATCTAAAAAAAATGACTTCTTTGTATTATCTTATAAAAGATAGAGCCTGCTTACCTGTGCTTTTCTGATTGCTATTTGTCTGAGAAATAAATCCTGCTTTAGATTTATTTAAATATACATTATTTTAAGTAGTTAGAAACAAACCTTTGAAATGAAATGAAAGGCTATTCTCGAACTGTCCTGTAAGAACCTCTTTAGCATACCAGCACCCTTCATAATTTTTATCCCTATTTTATTTTCCCCCAGAGCTACTCTCCAAGATGATCCCTCAAGCCTCCAACACTACATTCAGGGGGCACTCTAGGGAGGAAGCAATGCCTGGGGGAGGGGAGTGTGCCTTCAGTCCACTGAGTCCCAACTTATTAATCCTAGTTATAAAAACACACAGAGAAGGTTCAGGACTCTGACACTGATTCTTGCCCACTTCATTATGTTTCCAATGTTTGGTTCTGACTCATTAACTCCTACTTTAAAGGAAGAGAGAAAGTTGAGTTCTTGAGTATCGGGCTAAAAACACCACCC